TTCTTGTTCAAGGAGACGATGTTACATTTATCAGATTCTGGACTGTTCTTTTCTTTTTTGCTCACCCAGCAGCCCTCTTGCTATTGAAGAGTCCACACAGTGATCTTGGTGGTGGACAGCAGACCACACGAGTTCCTCTTCAAGCACGAGGACTTGCAGTCCTCCAGCGAGTTGAAAGAACCAAAAGAAATTCTTTAGGGCTTATTTGAATGAAGGAATATTCCAACCACTTCTAGCTCGCAGGGCTTTTACCTTGTCAACGCTGTGGAGCTTGACGGTCCACGCTGACTTCTTTCACAAGGAAACTCAAGACACAACGTGGGATGCCAACTTTGTCACGCTGCAAATGGAGTCAGTCGAGTACTGGACTTTGGATTTGAAAGCGCAGTGCAAGCAGCGACCAAATTCTACAACGTTCCATAATATGTGGAGACAATCAACCCGAGCAGCAGCAGCACGGGGAGCCTTCAGGTCATCCTCGCGGTGACCCTGAGCGCCCGGCTCCATGTGGACCGTGGGATACTAAGGATACTAAGGATCCCTGTCAATAGCTTAGGGCATTGCAAGATGGAGCGTGTCAGGCGCATCGTTTTCGACTGTTTTGGTTGCTTTCCGGGACGCTTGGAGAGGATCATCGGGAAAGTGCTGGGCTGCTGTGTCCGCATCCAGGGCGTCCTTGGCCGTGGCAGCTACAACCTTGTGCTCGACACGCTGCTGGTAGACAAGGGTCGGAGCGAGCGTCGCGTCGCGCTTCGCCTCCCGCTCACTCGCCGCAGCCGGATTTCTCCCCAAGAGGCGGTCTCTGGCTACGCGGCCACTCTCTTCCTGTCGCAGCTAGGCGGCCCCACGGTCGTCGCGGGGCCGATCCACGTGGCAAGCCCGCCCCTCCCTTACGCGACACGGGGGATGTCCTACCTGGCGGTTCTACCCGTGGCCGACGGTGTACGGCTGTGGGATCTTTGGGAGGACAGCCGCTCCACGCTGGCATGGAGGAAGAGGGTGCTGTCCGACCTGGCAGCCGTGACGCTCCAGCTGTACCGCCACCCGCTGGAGGGGATTGGTGACATGGCGCTCGCATCCGACGGGTCTCCATGCGTGGGCGTGCTGCACGACGGCGCCGTGGCCATCGCCATGGAGCGCGGGATGGACGTGGGCGATCGCCTCAGCCCCGGCCCCTATTCGACTTGGAAGGAGTATGCTTGGAACCAGATCCAGGGGTTGCTGCTGCTGCATGGAGACAGCCCCTTATACGGCGGATCGATCAGGGCCAACGCGGAGATCATCCTTGAGTGGCTGGAGGATTTCCAGCCCGATTTCCCGGAGAAGTTCTTCCTTTGTCACCCCGAGTTTGGCAGCGGGCAGGTATTGGTTGATCCCGGCTCGGGGCACGTCGAGAGCATTGTCGACTGGGACTGCGCGAAAACGGTGACGGTGCATTGGCTGGCGCGGGGCTTCTTTCTCCCGTTTTTCCACTATCGCGAGAAGCCTGACGAGGTGGAGGAGGAGGAGCTACTGAGGTTTTTCCGCGAGGAGCTGAGGTTGGGTGGTGCGCCGGAGCTCGTCCCGTACGTGACCAAGCACCCCGAGGAGGTGTATCCGCAAGTCATGTTTGAGGAGCACATTCGTCCTCGTGAGGTTTCTGCCGAGTGTGCAGACACCTCGCTGTGGGTGTTTTGTACAGAGATGCAAGCGCAGGGGTTCATGGATGATGAGATGGTGATACAAAAGGTTGAGGCGCCTTGGAAGAAATCGAAATCTCCGACCACTTCGTCGGCCGAAGAGGACGATGAAGAGAAGAGTGGTGAGGACGATGAAGAGGACGAGGACGGTGAGGAGGAGAGTGGCGACGATGAAGAGGAGAGCAGCGACAGCGAGGAGGAGAGTGGCAAGGACGATGAAGAGGACGAGGACGGTGAGGAGGAGAGCGGCGAGGACGAGGACGAGGAGCAGTGAAGAGGAGAGTGGCGAGGTTTCGTGAAAGTGAAAAATGCCGTACACATACGAATCTAAACCAAGCCCTATAGATTAGAATATTCGCTCATTCAAATAAACCCCACCGAATATTCGGGTCTTATCTAGGTTTATTACATGACTGCATTCCCTTCTCTCCTTGCGAAAATATGCTTAAGAGTTGGAATATTCTCTCATGCAAATAAACCCTAAAGAATATTCTGGTATTTTGAAAATCTTTCTTTTGGTTCTTTCAACTCGCTGGAGGACTGCAAGTCCTCGTGCTCGAGCAGCCGGAAGTGGAACTCGCGTGGTCTGCTGTCCACCTCCAAGATCACTGTGTGGACTCCTCAATAGTAAGAGAGCTGTCCGGAATCTGATAAGTGTAACATCGTCTCCTTGAACAAGAACTCGTTGAAGACCTTTTTGGCACCGTCTGGATCGCCGGTCTTGGCCAGCGCATGCATCATGCCATGGGCATCACCTCAAACGCACGCAAATAACCTTACCTTGGACTTTTACCTGATTCTATAGATCGTTCCCAAGCATCGTTGACATACCTAAAGCATGAAGACCTTGTGTACAACATTCAGACTTGACATCTTCAACACAAAAAAGAGATCCTGCTACAGTGTCTGATTTTCTGGTCTTGGAACCTATGGGATAGAATGTTGTGCTTGACACTGTTTGTAGCTTGAAGACTGATGCCCTCATGATGCTCAAGTTGTACAACACGTTCAAGTTCAGATCCAACAGTACCTTGAAACCTTCAACAATGTCACCTCTTACTGATCAAGAGACTTATTCAAGGGCTCACCAAAGCACGGAGCGAGTTCCTCCGGAGTATGTGGAGGGGCTCGCAAGAGAAAATCTACGCTTGAGAACATGCTCAACAAGACTGTGGAAAGCTTGATCCATGTTCCTTTACTGAATCGGTCGCAAGAACTTGAAGTTTACTAGTGCTTCCACTGATTTGAGCAACTTGACTGATGCAGCTAGAAACAACACCAAGCTCGCCAATTCTTAACGTTCCATGCCCTCTAAAGCTGCGAGGTCTTGCCTGGTCCACCGCGTGGCTACAAGCCTGGGGGAACACAAATATTATTTAGATCTCGTTTGTACTAGCATTACATTTACAAGTTTGTCTTATACAGGAGCAAGGACATTAGAACATCCACCGTTTGTTGAAGATGTTTAGTTTTTATTATCTGGACTAGAAGAGGTAATGGCCATAGACTCCGTCCCACCACAGATCAGTAGCTCTGTAACGGCAACAATATGGTCTTCAGTCTTCTAGCAACAATTTCCCTCCTGTGATATCATCAGGTCCACTTAATCAATGGTCTCAGAGGTTCAGGTGCCATCAAATTTGCACTGCGATTAATCTGGAGCAATCCATGTAAGGTTGGTTGAGTAGCTCCAGATCTGTAGCCCACATCCATATGCAACTCCCCAACTTTGACCCAGGCGGAGTCTGTTGGAAGCTTGCAAGGCCTTGTCAACGCTGTGGAACTTGGTGCTGCTGCTCGGGTTGATTGCTTCTATGGAACGTTGTCACCGCGCTTTAAGTCCAGTACTCGACACTCCATTTGCAGCGTGACAAAGTTGGCATCCCACGTTGTGTCTTGAATTTCCTTGTGAAAGAAGTCAGCGCGGACCGTCAGCTTTTAGGGATTGCGAGAGGAGTGAAGGAGTGATGGAGCGTGTCAGGCGCATCGTCTTCGACTGTTTTGGTTGCTTTCCGGGACGCTTGGAGAGGATCATCGGGAAAGTGCTGGGCTGCTGTGTCCGCATCCAGGGCGTCCTTGGCCGTGGCAGGCACCTTGTGCTCGACACACTGCTGATAGACAAGGGTCGGAGCGAGCGTCGCGTCGCGCTTCGCCTCCCGCTCACTCGCCGCAGCCGGATTTCTCCCCAAGAGGCGGTCTCTGGCTACGCGGCCACTCTCTTCCTGTCGCAGCTAGGCGGCCCCACGGTCGTCGCGGGGCCGGTCCACGTGGCAAGCCCGCCCCTCCCTTACGCGACACGGGGGATGTCCTACCTGGCGGTTCTACCCGTGGCCGACGGTGTACGGCTGTGGGATCTTTGGGAGGACAGCCGCTCCACGCTGGCATGGAGGAAGAGGGTGCTGTCCGACCTGGCAGCCGTCACGCTCCAGCTGTACCGCCACCCGCTGGAGGGGATTGGTGACATGGCGCTCGCATCCGACGGGTCTCCGTGCGTGGGCGTGCTGCGCGACGGCGCCGTGGCCATCGCCATGGAGCGCGGGATGGACGTGGGCGATCGCCTCAGCCCCGGCCCCTATTCGACTTGGAAGGAGTATGCTTGGAACCAGATCCAGGGCTTGCTGCTGCTGTATGGAGACAGCCCCTTATACGGCGGATCGATCAGAGCCAACGCGGAGATCATCCTCGAGTGGCTGGAGGATTTCCAGCCCGATTTCCCGGAGAAGTTCTTCCTTTGTCACCCCGAGTTTGGCAGCGGGCAGGTGTTGGTTGATTCCGGCTAGGGGCACGTCGAGAGCATTGGCGACTGGGACGGCGCGAAAACGGTGACGGTGCATTGGCTTGCGCGGGGCTTCTTTCTCCCGTTTTTCCACTATCGCGAGAAGCCTGACGAGGAGGAGGAGGAGGAGCTACTGAGGTTTTTCCGCGAGGAGCTGAGGTTGGGTGGTGCGCCGGAGCTCGTTCCGTACGTGACCAAGTACCCCGAGGAGGTGTATCCGCAAGTCATGTTTGAGGAGCACATTCGTCCTCGTGAGGTTTCTGCCGAGGGTGCAAACAGCTTGCTGTGGGTGCTTTGTACAGATATGCAAGCGCAGGGGTTCATGGATGATGAGATGGTGATACAAAAGGTTGAGGCGCCTTGGAAGAAATCGAAATCTCCAATCACTTCGTCGGCCCAAGAGGACGATGAAGAGAAGAGTGGTGAGGACGATGAAGAGGACGAGGACGGTGAGGAGGAGAGCGGCGACGGTGAAGAGGAGAGCGGCGACGGTGAAGAGGGAGTGGCGAGGTTTCCTCAAAGTGAAAAATGCCGTACACATGCCGTTGGTACGAATCGAAACCAAGCCCTACCAGAGGGTTAGATTAGAATATTCGCGCATTCAAATAAACCCTAGAGAATATTCGGGTGTCTTATCTTCTTGAGGTGGTTTCTATCCATGTTGTTGGGTATTACATGAGCATCGCAGCTCTTGGAGCGATTTCCACTGACTATCCTGCGAAAACCAAGAGCAGAAAGAATGTGAGGAAGAAATTCAGCAAAGAAGATTTAAGCTCTTGCTTACCAGCTGAGCGGCCTCCGCGCCAAGGGCGTGGTCCATGGTGAGGAACAAGGCCTTCCATTTGTCCATTTGAAGCTCGTACTGTCGCTTGGCCTTTGCCGGATCTTCGTGCCGGCTGAGGTCGAGGAAGCTGGATTTATCAGCCGGCATAAATATATCGTCCTTGGCAACGATGGCTGTTCTAACTCGTCTCCGGCTCCGCTTCAAGGCTGCGCAAATCTTACACTCGTGAGATTCCACGACAAGTCACAAGCGAAAGCAGACCTGAGATCCTTCCTTTGATATCCTGGTTGACAAGCTTAAGCCAGATCGCGGCAGGACCACCTGGAAAAAGAAAACCACGAACACCATTCCATCAACCCAAAGAGCGAGCCAGACTTACTTTGCTTCTGGATCATTGCGTCGCTCTGAGTCATCAAGTGATGATCATCGTCTTGCTCGTCATCCACCAGCTTGTCAATCGTAACGTCCCAGCTCTCGGTTTTAGAGCGGGAACCTTCCAAAGTCCCACAGCTAAAATCTTCCACACTGGTGGCCACCTCCGAATCGTTTGTAGCCCTGTTTTCCAAGCTTTCCAGCGCCTCCGTGAATGTAAGCATCTCCTCTAAGTTGGCTTCTGGACGCTCGCGCTTCACTTGCTTGCAAGCCACAACCGCCGGCTTCGCAACTCCACGATTTTCATCAGCAAACTCCCGGCATCGCTTGCGGACCAAAGTCCCGGACTTTAGAACAGCTCCAATCGCCGAATGGACGTACTTGCTATCGTGAACACGGCCAATTATCCCCGGTTTGAGCTCGCCCAAGACTCCAGACGGGGGAACGGGCTCCTGCGGCTTCTCATCCTCCGGAAGAACACTGGGCCTGACGATAACGGTCGGCTGCTTGGGCCTCCTCGTCCTCCTCTGCCACTGCGATTGCGCATCTAGGCACGAACCAACTGTGCCGATCTCGATTTTTGTAGGGAAAGTTCCCAGCTTGGCATCAGAATCGGCGCCCCAGCCCTGGCAGGCCGAGAGATTGTGGACGAACCTGGGCTTGATGTCAACGACGCCGGGTCCATTCAGAACCTTGAGCGGCGCCCTTGCCGGCGCATTGGCCTTGCTCTCCAGAGCTCCCGACGCCAGTAGATCCTTGAGAACGCCCATCTGAGATCTAGGAACCGCGAAATCTTACATGAATCGCGCGCGCGGTCGCGAAACCCTGCCCGGGGAGGAACCCTAGCTCGTCGCGCTCGCGCCGTCGATCTGTATAAAGAGGAGAGCTGCCAGCGAGCGCGAAATTCAAACACTCTCGTTAGAGCTTTGACGGAATCTTTTCCCCAACGGAATATGCGAAGCTACCAGAATATGACGCCCAGTATGTTTTCAATGGCTGGATATGGCGAACAGAGTTACAAGCGCGTCGTCGAGGGCTAGGGTTTTGGATGCGCGGGAGCTCCGGAGCGTGCTTCTGGCGCCAGATTCAGGGGCGCTGCCTCGTGCTCGTCGCTGGCGACGAATGTAAGTAGCTGAATCCTCGTCGGCAGCGCAGGGAAGCTAGATCTGGCTCTCCAATTTGTCTCTCCGGGTTCTTCTCGCGGAATCTAGGACAGGGCCAGCTGCGAGCTCGCCGCGCGCCGAAAATGCGCTTGGGGCACAGGTGATTTGGAAGGAAAGAAGTGTCGAGCTCCTGCAATGTCGGACTTCAATGTGATCCTCCTGATCATAGTCATCGTCGTGACGGTTCTAGTTTTCCTCTTCAACACCTATCTTCTAGTGAATTACCAGCACCCGGATGATCACAATCAGGCGTACTTCCCAAAGGCGGTAGTGGTTTTCGGTTTGTCCGTAGCACAGCTCTCGATTTTGATGCTTCCGGCGGACGTCGCAAACCGGCATGCTTGTCAGCGTGCCTTGTACAATGGGGCGTGTGATCTTACGCTTCCCATGAAGGACCTCTGGTATGCCGTCTACATCATCGACGCTGTGCTCGTCTTCTTGGTAATTCCTTTTACGATGTTCTACTACGAAGGTGACCAAGAGAAGTAAGTCATTACTAGTTTCTTCGATTGGCTTGAGTTCTCATTGTTTGTGTTTATTTTTCCTTTCACAGGAGTGTAGCACGAAGAGCAGTAGGCGCACTTATGTGGGTGATCGTGATCGCCATTGTCGTCGGGCTCGTTCTTGGGATCTTATATGGTACTGAGATCTTTGTTTGTTTCCGGGTGACCTTATCTTACATTGACACAGGACTCATTGGAAAGGTTGATTTCACTGTGCGGCATTTGTCCTCCACTACCATCGGTTTCACTACCGATTATTCTCAATTGACTTCTCGGAGTCCTTGCCTTGTTCCCACTAATTCTCCGAACGCTGTCAGGAGCATTCAGGTGACGGAATTTAGGATCTCTTTCGAAGATTATACTGTTTGCTGACACGTTCTTGTCTAGTGTTCGGCGTATAATGCCGGCTATGGAGCGGAAGCTACCTGGTCAATGCGAACGACTTTCCCACAGTACCTGATTGCTTTGACAACAATAGTTGGATCGGTTTTGTTTACCGTAAGCGCCGCGACTTGAGCGAATATCCATTGCATAGTACTTTTACTTTTCAGATTTTTGGAGGTGTTGGAATCGCCTGTTTGCCACTGAGCTTGATATTCGCTTTTTTCAAGCGTCCAACGGCAGTAATCACAAGGTCGCAATATATAAAGGTCTGTTCTGAGTGACTGTTCTTCGGCTTTTCACTACCATGTTACGTTTCAGGAGGCAACTATTCTAGGAAAGCGTGCAAGGGAGCTCAAAGAAACGACACTGGCCCTTCAACGCGAAGAAAGAAGCTCGGGAAAGGGGAGAAAGTGGAGAAAGGAAATGAAGAAAGTCCAGCAAGTATGGTTAAATCTGCAACGTTTCTGCTAAAGTGACTTTCTCTCTTAAACAGGAATTGCTGTACCTGGAAGAGGACGTGCAACGCCTTGAAGAAGCTTATCCGCAGGGGGAAAAGGTGCGCTTGCTTTTCTAGCTTCTTTTCTTTCTTTCTTGGCTTACAGAGTGGTTCAGGCTGATACGACTTGGGCGTTAACAGTGCTGGGCTATCTTTCCAAACTTCTACTTGGCCTTGTTGGGTATGCTTAGCCGAATGAGCTTTCTGTAAGTTCTAATGTGGTATGGTGCAGCCTTGTCGTTTCAGGAGCATGGGTGGCACATATAATTGTCTACATGCTCATCAAACCGCCTTTCTCTTCATTCTTAAATCAAGTTTTCATCAAGCTTGATGACGTTTGGGGTATACTTTTCTTCTTCTAGTTAAACTAATCAATGACGTACAATCTTGCAGGACTACTTGGCACAGTGGCGTTTGCGTTTTTCTGCCTTTATTTGATTCTGGCAGTCATATCTGGTGAAATGCACCTTGGCCTAAACTTTGGTTTGATAGCAATTCACCCGATGAAGTAACTAGTAACTCATGCTAGATGGTTCTTGCGTTTCTAAGTTGTTCACTTTCTTTTGTCAAGGTATGGCGGGACGCTGATGAACTCGTTCCTTTTCAACGTGGGCCTTATTCTTCTCTGCTCTGTCAGGTATGCACTATCAAGATTCTTAGCTTTCAAAACTCCAACTTGGATACAAACTCTCCAGTGTGATCCAGTTCTGCTCTAAAGCATTTGCATTGTATGCGCGTGCAACCACAGCTCAAGAAATATTTGGTCTTACACTTGAGTCCCTTCGTGGAATCAAGTACTTGTTTAGGTACGGTTTGGCTGTTTGAGTTTTCTCTTGTTTCGATGCTAAACCCTTGTGTAAGCGCAGGTACAACGTCTTTCAAATTGCTTTCTGTGTATTATCGGTGGTGACTTTGGTTTATTACCTGGCATTTGTAAGTCCAAGCCGCAAGGAATGAGGCTTTTGTGTGCTCACTCTTGTGGTTTCTCCTGCAGGGATGGAGAAGGAAGAAGAGAACAGCCGCTGGAGTATAACTCTTCTTCACAAGTTCCATCAGGCTTGCTTGCATTCTTTTGATTCTCCTTCCATATTTTTTCCTAGGTAGCTTGTGGAATGGCCTCGTATATGTGTGGATGATGGTAGTGAAAGTAATGAAGCAGTTAGTAATTATACCGTAATAAAATGTTAAAGAAAATGTTTGGAACAAATGGTTGATTATTCATTGTCACTAATCTCTTGCCGGTGTAAAGCCTACGTAAACTTGGAGAATTTCGAGTCGATTCGAGCGCCATCAACATCTGAGCTTGTTTCCGTTTTCCAGCTCAGGCACACCAAAAGGTGACGCCACTGCTGACACTACTCTTGGATTTGCAAATGCAACTGAGCTGAGCGGTGATTGAAATTTGCGGCCTTGTAACAACGACCGCAGTTCTTTTCTTTATCACCTTCTTTTCCACTGCCAAGTCTTCCAGTACCAGCTTCTGTTGTAAAAAGTAGCATATACAGGCTTACACATGCCCAGGCTCTCTTTGCGAGCGATGGAAACCTCCCCGCAGGGTTTCCAGTTTTCTTCTGTAGGCTGCAAGAATTGGGAGACTTTAAGAGCCAGGACTAAACGAATTATCCTTTGTGCCAATGGCAGCATCCCCATTTGCAGGATCCAAGAGGTAATGTCTCTTACAGTCCTTGGAAACTCTTGGAGTTTCTGAAAAGGTCCCATGGATCTGCTGGGTACTCCAAGGCCCCGAGTATAATATATAGTAGGTACATATTTTTGTATGTTTCAAGTAGCTAGTATAGTATAGTATACTGCTTCGAGAAGAAAAAATGGAGGGATCTTTGCAAATTATGCAAGTGTGTGTGTGTGTGTGTGTGTGTAACGTAGGGATAAGTTCTTCGTGCTTGCATGCGTGAGCAAAGAACTTTTGCGGTACCACGATTCCCGGGGGTCCTGAAATCGTCATCTTTCCTGCGAAGATAAAATAGAAAGGGAGTTAAAAAAAAGGAGAGGAGGAAAAGAATGGCGTCCCTATCTACCTTTAGAAACACAATACGAATTTGGAGGTAACATGGCGGGCTCCCAGAAACTGAAAACTGGAATACCCCAAAGTATATAAAAATCAAAGAATTTGATCCAATGTCGACATCAAGAAGAGCTACAAAACAGTGAAAATTGGATTCATCCGCAGCAGAGAGATCAATCCAAATGAATCGAAATCATCGCCAGCTTTCATATGCTGTCAAAAGGTGTTCCAGGGGAGAAGTTGAAGGTTGAAATGTTAAATTTGCTTCGATCAACACAAGAGTTCGGATGGAAATTGTGGCTGGTCTCGATCGTATGCGCTGATTCACAGAAGCTTCGGACGAAAAAGCTTACGCGCAAAGTTCTCGTGGTGCCCTCTTTTTCCTCCTCAAAAACTTCCATTTCATGCACCGCAAAAGTTGACGCTCGAAAGGAATGGAATCATGGCCTTTTTATATAATACATACAGAAAACCAAATATTCTAATGGAGCAAGAGATTGTATTGCCAAACCCTAAATCTGCCCTAAATTTTGTATCGGCTAACTTTACTTTTGGGTACTTTGACCAGAAATGCCCAGTGGGGGCATTTTGGGCGGGGCCCTTAAGCATTGGCAAATACCCCAGCCGTATAATTATCTTTAGTTTTTTTCGTCCGTTAGTCGGCCGCCATAGCCAAAGCTTGTCGACCTCCACCAAGAACACACTACGCGCTCTCTCTCTCTCTCTCCCTCATCTCTTCTTGTCCAATTCGATGTCACGGCGCATCGCCAGCACCGGCGCGGCCGCCAGATGCCAAATGCGGGTGTCGGATTCGCGCGGCCGATCTGTTCTTGGGGGATTCTGCTGTTAGGTCGGGGTAGATCCAGGGCAATTTGGTGCCCGGAATTGCTGAGGAGCAATCGGAGCTGCGGTTGAATCGAATCGGTCTGGAATGGGGGACGGGGAGAAGAAGGAGGAGAAGAAGGAGGATGCGAAGCCGCTGGAGCCCGTGGTGAGTGAGTGTTTATGTTTCTGTGAGGGGTTTTGGCTGGATTTGGAATCCAATTCATCTCGTGCTCGCAGACTGTGGTGCTCAAGGTGAAAATTCACTGCCTGGGATGCGAGAAGAAGGTGAAGAAATCGCTCAGCAAGGTGAAAGGTATGGAAATTTATCGCGAATTTCGCGTGTTCCTCGATCTGATGGTGTGTTCTCAGGGCTTATGTCGCTGGACGTGAATCGCAGCGAAGGAAAGGTGACGGTTAAAGGGTTTGTGGATCCCAAGGAGGTGCTCAAGAGGGCCAAGAAGACGGGAAAGCAGGCGGATTTCTGGCCATCTCCTCCTCCGCCACCCAAAGAGGAGAAGAAATCATCCGACGAGGAGAAATCCGAGAAGAAGGAAGAGAAGAAGGAGAAGGAGGAGAAGAAGGAGGAGAAGGAAGAGAAGAAGGAGGAGAAGAAGGAGAAGGAGGAGAAGAAAGAGGAGAAGAAGGAAGAGAAGAAGGAGAAGGAGGAGAAGAAAGAGGAGAAGAAGGAAGAGAAGAAGGAGAAGGAGGAGAAGAAGGAGGACAAGGGCGAGGAGAAGAAGGACAAGGAGGTGAAGTTCAAGGAGGAAGAGAAGGGAGAGAAGAAGGAGGAGAAGAAGAAGGACAAGGAGGTGAAGTTCAAGGAGGAAGAGAAGAAGGAGGAGAAGAAGGACAAGGAAGAGAAGAAGGAAGAGAAGAAGGACAAGGAAGAGAAGAAGGAAGAGAAGAAGGACAA